AGAGACGGGGTTTCACCATGTTGACCAGGATGGTCTCGATCTCTTGACCTCGTGATCCACCCGCCTCGGCCTCCCAAAGTGCTGGGATTACAGGCTTGAGCCACCGTGCCCGGCTGGTCCATAGTTTTTAACAGCAACTTCAAACACAGAAAAATCCAAACTTCAAATTTTCTTACCCTAATTTCAAAGCCAGGGTTTTAATTTAATAAAAGTACCCTAATTACTATGAATAAAATGTTGCTTATTTTATTTCATTAGTCATTTGGGATCTGCTTTAGGAATAAATTAGATTCTTCCTCAGCCTCTTTCTTCATGGTTTAGTATTTGCCTACAAAGGTGATGTTATATAGTCTTTTCTTTTTAAATTTCTCAAACTTAATCAGCTTAAAGTTTATCCTACAGACGTGGAAAAATAATTTTTAGAAAAACCTGTAATTGTGTTCCATCTTTTGTTCTTTTCTCTAATTTAAGTAGTTTTCAAGTGGATTTTCCCCTCAGGAGATACTGTGTGTGGCAATGCCTGCAGACATTTTTGTTTGTCACAACTGAAGGTGGGGCACTGCAACTGGCATCTAGTGAGTAGAAACCAATGATGCTGCCAAACATCTTGCAGTGCACTGCAGAGTCCCCTGCAATCATCATCTGGCCCAAAATGTCACAGTGCTGAGGTTGAGAAACTGCTTTCATTCCATCGTTCTGAATGTTAACTCATTACTAAGATACAGCAATGGAAAGTTGTCCATTGTTGACTTAAGAGCCTCCCATTCTCCAGCTATATGGGTTCTTAAACTGTGGCCTGGGGAACTGTAAGGTGATGCAAAAAAGATGTGAATAAAAACACAGACATGAGAACCCAACTATTCTCTTAAACTAGCTATAAAGAAATGTGCTACTCTTCTCACTAAAAAGAAAATACTTTTGGAAAATAGTTTTCATAAAAAAAGATTTTTCATGTTAACATGTAATAGACATTATTTTAAAATAAATCAGTAAAATTTAAAACCTTCTCACTTCCAATTTCTAATACAGTCAATATCAATCCATAGTTCCTGAGACCAAAGGGTTTGAGAGCCACTCACTATCTGAATACAGATTGAGAAAAGGGAGCAGTGGGGCTGTTGGTTACCTCCAAAAATCATTACTGGGTGATATCAACTGGACAATCTCATAACTTTCTATCATTGTATAGAATGGTAAACTGGGTCCTCCTCTTGAGTTTCAGAGGCTATCCTGAGGATGTTTAGAGCTTCATAAAAATGAACACATTTTTTAAAGGAACACGTAAGTATTGTTAAGTTCTGTAACTGAATGACTATATAAACTGAAATTGTGGACTTTTAGTATCTACAGCCAGTCCTTCCAAAACTCAGCCATCATTTCATTTTAATTTTGAGAGAAAGGTTGTTTTCTGTTCTGTTGGACTGCTTCCAATTTTCCTTACAGCTATACAATAATTACTAGTCAAAATAAAACCATTTTACATATTCTACTTTCAGAATGTCAAATTATAAAATGGGCTTTTGGCTATAAATATAGTATTAATTTTAGATTGTCTATATAGTCATTTATTGCACATAGCCAACAAACATTTAATTTCTTCCAGCTCAAATTCAGAATCACCAAAATTTTGCTACAGACTAAAAATCAGACACATCTGTTATGATCTTTAAATGGCAACCAGGCATGCAGTTCTGCAAAATTCTGTCTCTTATACAAAACATGCTTAGAGTCTAAATTTAGCAGCGATAGAGTAGGAACTCACTTTAGGGAAACTGTTCTACATATAGATCTGATAAGAAATATTATAATAGAAAGCGCTCTCCAAAGGACAGTTACAGCAGTATATTTATAATAAATGTTCTTCCTGAGGAAAAATATCTCACTATGTGATTTTTCCAGTGGTTAATCTTCAGGGATATATATATTTTTTTTAAATTAAGGAATAAGTCTTTGCTTCTAAACAGTTTTATCTCACTGACATTTTTACCGAAACACAACTCACATTTGTATTTATTTTCCCACCCACTATATTAGGTATTCTGGGTTTTCCTTATACTTGCAAAATGCCAACTCACAGTATGGAAACAAATCAAACATCAATGGCAAAATACAGTATCCTTTTTGTACTAGTATGAGTACTAGTCTCTGGCCACTTCACTACACTGACTTCTGCTTGCCTTAGTGAGTAGAAACGAGAAAAAGAGAAGTCAAACAGCAAAGGTTTTTATAGTTTTCAAAACTCTTTTGGTTAAGGACTTAAGGTAATAAAAAGGAGAGAGACTAAACTAAGCTTGCTGAATGAGCAACAGATTTAACTATTCAAGTTTTTATGGTACTATCAGTACTCAGCTGAAGGATAACCAACAGTAATCACAAGATGAACTTCAAGAGCCCAAAAGTTTCTCACAGCAAAAGAATGCAACTCCCAGGGTCGGGTGCGGTGGCTCACGCCTGTAATCCCAGCACTATGGAAGGCTGAGGCGGCGGATCACAAGGTCGGCCTGGCCAACATGGTGAAACCCTGTCTCTACTAAAAATACAAAAATCAGCCCGGCGTGGTGCCATGTGCCTGTAATCCCAGTTACTAGGGAGGCTGAGGCAGGAGAATCGCTTGAACTCAAGAGACAGAGGTTGTGGTGAGCCTTGAGTACGCCGCTGCACTCCAGCCTGGGTGACAGAGTAAGACTCCATCTCAAAAAACCAGAAAATAACAAACAAAAAACGCAACTCCCAAGTTTGGCATAAGGATTAAAATGAAAATCTAAATATTGTATTTCAGAAATACTTGTGAAGACATTTAATGAAGTAATAAGATTCAGCTTCTTCCTCTTTTGCTATAACTTGATAACTTTGTCTGAACGGCTCCCAGCGAAAGAACCATAAAATGGCATATTATAGAAAGATAGCAAATCTCAACTTCTGGTAAGGCAGTCTGATTTTAGAACAGATATTATACTTATTTATTTTAGCAAATGGTTATTTATCTGAAGAGGCAATTTGTGTTATCTCTACATTTTGAGGGAAGGCTATCAGAATTGTGAACAACAGCTTTGTAGATCTGCTGTCATAATGAACATTAATCTTGAAGCTACACTGAAATTGAAAACGAATTTTAAAAACCTCTAATTTCTCTGCTAAAGCTCGAAGCTTAAACTTTGACAAGACTGATGCTTACACTGTATATAATGTACCTGAGTTTTCTAAGATGACCAAATCTATTGCCCTATACAAGGCAAAAATTATCTCAACATGCTTCATTACATTACGTGTTATTTTAATTAGTGGTATTTCATAAGCCAAACTCCATTTTTAATATCTATACCTTCAAAATAGCTTTATGCTTCCCTAAATGACCTTTTGTGAGTCTACGTACAAAAGTGATGACTCTGACTGTGAGCCTGTAGGAGGCCAAAGAAAATCTCTTCTAACCATGTAGCAAAGTTAACCCATCAAAGTTTATAATTCTAAGACCTGCTAGGATTTTATTCCTTTACAACATTGAGCATGGATGTCAGTGGTGATATAAGAATGTTATCTTGCAATGTGCTCGGAAAACATACATAGATTTCAGTTTAGAATGTGATGCATCTCACTGTTTCTCCTACTTTTGGTCATTTTTTCCTAATACAATTGTATTTAGAAAATAAAAGAACATGGATGAGTACAATGGCTTATGCCTGTAATCCCAGCACTTGGGGAGTCTGATGTGGGAGGACTGCTTAAGCCCAGTAGTTTGAGACCAGCCTGGGCAACATAGTGGGACTCTACAGAAAAGGTAAAAGAACACAATCAAAATATAAGCATACCATATGAAAGCATTGGAAATACTGTAAAAACCTCCTAAAAATGCAAAATATTTGTTGAAATAAAGATCTAAGAAAAACTTCAGGCTGCATGGTGACTCATGCCTGCAATCCTAACACTCCGGGAGGCCAAGGTGGGAGGATCACCTGAGGCCAGGAGTTCAAGACCAGCCTGGGCAACACAGCTAGACCCTACCAAAACTAAAAAGAAAAAGAAAAACCTCAAAAAGACTTCATGGCTTACCTCAGAACACCTTTAATAACTACTGTCTTGGCTTTAGCATGACAGAGGACAGAAGTGAGCCTACATAGTAATTATTACTACTAGTAAGTGAGCCTACACAAATTATTCCCAAGGTTTTTACTAATTTTAAACTTAAAATCTGCCTTATAAATATGTCATTCTCATTATTATCTGAATATATTATACTTATCTCTGTTCAGTACAGAATGATATACATTTGTGTTTGTATACTTAACCATTGTAGCAAGCCCAGTGAAGTGCTGTATATCCATGATTGTCTGCTATGGCTGGATTTGCATCCATAGATGCTGCTGACTGCAAAAGGGCTCCAAGAACACCAATGTGTCCACAGGCTGCAGACAGGTGTATAGGTGTCCGGCCCCTGCTATCCTGAAGTAAGCACTTAGCACCATGTTGAAGTAATGCATCTACACATTCTTCATGGCCTGTAACTGCCTGAAAGAAAATAATTTACAGGTGGTCAAACATATTATGCTAAACATTACATGCCAACCTCGACTAATTAAAAAATTTTAGGCTGGGCATGGCAGCTCAGGCCTGTAAACCTAGAACTTGGGGAGGCCGAGGCTGGCAGATCACAAGGTAAGGAGATCGAGACCATCCTGGCCAACACGGTGAAGCCCTGTCTTTACTAAAAATGTAAAAATTAGCTGGGCGTGGTGGCTGACGCCAGTAATCCCAATTATTCAGGAGGCCGAGGCAGGAGAACTGCTTGAACCTGGGAGGCTGAAGCTGCAGTGAGCCAAGATGGCGCCACTGCACTCCAGCCTGACGACAGAGCAAGACTCCATCTCAAAAAAAGAAAAACAAAAAGAAAAAAATTTAAAAACCATACACCCTATATCCTTCTATTAATCAAAGCCATTTATCATTTTATGAGTGATTCTATATTTTTATTGGAAGTGGTTTAAAAATTCAGTTATAGCAGTAACTGTCAAAATGCAAACAGTATGAAAACAGGAAGAGAGAAACAGTATTCAATGAAAATATTTCAAAGGTGAAAAAGTTTATATAAGAAAGTGAGATAATGGAAAAAAGCCAAACTGCCATTAATTCTACTCAAAGTTTTAGGGTTTTAAAATTTTGTTCTAACATTGTTTTCTAGATTAAGTTTTAATCTAGATTAAGTAATCTCTAGAACAATGTAAGTAAAAATTAAGATACTGGCTGGGCACAGTGGCTCACACCTGTAATCCTAGCACTTTGGGAGGCTGAGGCAGATGGATCATTTGAGGTCAGGAGTTCAAGACCAGCCTGACCAATGTGGAGAAACCCCATCTCCACTAAAAACACAAAATTAGCCAGGCATAGTGGCACATGCCTATAATCCCAGCTACTTGAGAAGGCTGAGGGAGGAAAATCACTTGAACCTGAGAAGCGGAGGTTGCAGTGAGCCGAGATAGCGCCATTGCACTCCAGCCTGGGCAACAAGAGGGAAACTCTCTCTCAAACAAAACAAAACAAACAAACAAAAAACCCAAATTAAAAAAACCCAAAGACTAAGAAATCGAAAGAAATAGTAAAGATTATTTGATAAACTAATAAAGAAAAAATAAACATAACCTAGTTTAGTGCTAGGTGATATGAGGTCATAAAAGCTTTTTGAAAGGAAAGAGCATATTTCTGCTTACCCCTCTATGCAATGCTGTCCTTCCCCATTTATCTTTGGCATCTACATTTGCTCCTTTGTTCAGCAATGAGTAAACACAGTCTGTGTGCCCGTTGAGAACAGACAGCATCAGAGGCGTCCTGAGCAACAACAGGAATAGGTTAAGTGCTCACTTAAGACTGTATTCTGGTTTTCGAAATACGCCTTTCTGTGATGCAACAATTATCTATTGAAACTTACTGTCCATTTCCATCTTGAATATCTACTGCATTCTGCGGTTCTGCATTTCCTATTAATAGCCGTAAGCATTCTGAATGACCATTTGTTGCTGTAAAGTGAAATTTTAAAATTTCAGTAATTATATATAATGATAAAATAGAAAATGTCCATATTAGAGCACATCTTCTAGAATTTAACTTTGGGATAGTTTCGCTGAATTTAATATGCAAGAATGAAAGTATCTATAGGTACAAGGAAGGTTTCTACTGCCTTTGATTGGTAAAGCTCAACAAATACGAATTCCTCACAATAAAATATGACAGGCAGACTGCCTAACCAGCACCCATCCCTATCATCTGCCTCTAAAAGAATGCTCATTTTATTTGGCTCTCTGGCAATGTGGTCAGGAAGAGGGGCTTGCCTCCAGCAAAGGAATGATATCATGACTGGACCAAGTCAATCACAACAACACATTCTCCTCTGATAGTGATCAGTTTT